GAGCGCAAAAAATCTGTTGGAGACCCTCCAACATTTTGAGCACAATGAGCTCACCGGACCTTTATGCAACACACAATGATTGAATTCATCTGGAAAGAACTTAATGTGCAAGTGATATCTTTTTTTTCCACCACTGAAGTCATCTTTTTTTTTTTTCAAATCGTAATATTTCATCCACAAATGTGGTCACTTTCTCCAATCCAAGTCCCTCTTGACACGTTTCTCTTCAAGGGGGGAAGGAACACACGGATGACATCATCTGCCTGAAGCAGGAAGTTGTTCAGAATGAAAATTTCAGTGTTTTCTAGTTGAGGGTGATGAAAAGATCTGTTCAGAACAGTTTTCATCACCCTCCCCACCTCCAGTATACGGAACCTAAACCCCTACCTGCTCATAAAAACTATAAACACTTCCTTCCCTGACGATTCTTCTCCCTCACTGTCCTTTCATCATTGTACAGTACCTACCAACAAGCCATGGTTAAGTTCTGCCAGTGTTGACTGAGTTTCGTGAGTATATATACATAATTTGTATTTTTTACGACGGAAATGTAATTTGTACCATATAATATGGCACGGGAACTCTGAAATGTTTATATTTTCATTCAAAATGATTTGTTAAATGTACACTTGTTAATACCAATGCACATTCGGTTAGAATAAAAAAAAAAGGGGCACGACTCCCAAGGCAAGTTAATTGCGCAGAAACGCTTAAATTTAAACGAAGGAAAGTCATTGTGAGAGGCGTGCAGCGGTCACGTGACACGACCGCACGGCCAGTCCACCTGTTGAGGGCGTGCGCGTGCTTGGAGACGCCGGTTGCCTGGCAACCCACAAGGAACTCGATGGCACCGGCCGCAGCTTGGTTTCAACCCCCGAAATTTCCTTCTTTAGGCAAAAATGTATCGCTCTGGCGAGATCTACCTGCCAAGGAAGAAAAAAGTTCCCGAAACATTCCAGTGAGTATTATTAGGTGGAGAGTTGCAGAGCGAGCAGACCAGCTGGGGAAAAGGGTGCAGGGACGTCGTGCGTGTCGGTTCGGCTTCAGCGCCTGCAGCAGCTGAGCGCTTCCAGGAGAGATGCACTGGAGAAAGTTTTCAACTTTAAAAAAAACATGTGTTCGATGTGTTTTTCGATCATAATGTCTAATCGTTAAAAAAAAGCCGTGAAACCCGGGGTAAAGTGTTTTGCAGAATAGTATTTAAAAAAAAAAAACCCATACAGTAACTGTTCATATCTGTTAAGGGCAATTGTTTACCGAGACACTTCATATGAACGGAAACAGGAGGTGACAGAAAGCATACATTTTGAATGTCTTGCTCAGGGTCCCAACAGAGTAGGACTCCTCTGCTGGCTGCAGGATTTGAACCAGTAACCTTCCAATCACAGTCACAGATCTGTACAGTGCCACCACTCTGCCCAATGTGCCAGATTAAAGCAAGTTGAGCTAAACCACAGAGCAAAAACCTTTGGAATTATCAGTAAAAAAGGTCCTTTTCATTTGACAAGTTTCAGACCAAATGTTCTGTAATATCAAACTGTTGGTTGTTTCCTTCATCTTTTCAGCTCCAATACGTTCAGGATTTTTGATGAAAATGTGTCAGAAAGACTGGAACTGGATCAGTGCTGTAAAAATAACCCAGTTCGGAGGACAGACTCAGAACAACAGAATTTAAAAGACACACACCATATACCTCATCCCTACTATGCTAAATTCATAAGATCTAATGCCAGAAGTCTCAATGCTCCGATATTTCACATGGAAACAGACAGTACAATGGCTGATCAGGTATGAAAATGTTTAATTTTTTATTGCCCAAAAAGTTGGGCACATTGCCCTACTTGTCTTTTTGTATATGTACATTACAGTGCATTAACAGTGTAATTATTGTAACTGTCAAGACTCACAAGCTTGTGAATTCTTTACTTTGGCAGCTGCATTAAACAGCAACAAGCCAAATTACTTGACATCTGTGATGGGAAATTCCTAACAGTTGCTTGCATTCGGCCTTGATCCCTTGACCTGCTGCTGGGAGTTCTCTTCTTAACAAACATTGTGACACCCTTTGAACTCTTGATGAATAATTTAAAAACAATACATGTCATCATCAGACACGCATAGTTCCTCTAGACCCTGGCTCTGGGATACTCTTTCACAATAAGGCAGCACATGGCCAGTGTGGCGTCTTTCATGACTTCATCCCCTACAGCACTGTGAGCTCTCCAGGCCGCACAGGCTGGAGTCCAGTCATGCAGACATTAATGATGCTAACCAGGAAAGTACAGCATTCCGGTTAGCATTCCGGTGCGTCGGAATACCCTGTCTTATATGTTTATGTTGTGTTTTGCTTACTGTGCGTATTGCATTATTAATAAACGTTTAAAAAAAGAGAAAAGCACAGCATTGTAGGTCTCAGCAATCTCATGGATAGAAATGCTAAAAAAATATTGTAATGATCATTAATTACAATCGTTAATATTCTGATCCGGCATTCTGTAACTTGACATTTGTCACGTGCCTGCACAAACAACAGGCAACCAATTGCTTTAACTGTAGGTTTAGGACAGGAAACAAATTTGTCAGATTCATTTGATTGAATTGAACTGAGAACAACTGAGCTTTTTTAGAAGGATATTTTATTTCACTGTACAACTTTACTATGCTATGGAGTGTTTGTTTTTTTTTTAAAAAAGATTGACTCAAATGACTTAGACTGCATAATTTATACTCTAAAAATTACATTAGGTTTATATTAATGTGACTATTATCTCTCTCAGTGTAACTGGTGGCCAAATGGGACTGGACAAAATGTCAGACATGACCCCCCCTACAGCAGAGCAAGCACCCAGCAGACGGCCTTCCAGGGGCTGCTACAGTCTTGTGCTCCAAGCACAAGATATGGAAACAGCCCAAATAAGTCCCCATCTTCGGGAATTGGTATGTAGTTTCTTCATGTATTTTCTATTTAATACATCTAATATATAAACGTATATTTTAAACACTGAGTTTGTATTCATTTAGGTTCAGAGTATTCAAGATTAGTAGTCAGTTCTGAGCAGATATTTTTAAGAGGCCTCACAGGAAAAATCCCATCCAAATTGCAATGTATTAAGAGCTTTAAATTGTTTAACAACTGGCAAGCAATATATTTACTTTTTTTCCATTTATTTTGTTTTATTTTTTGTTTGTAAAAAAAACTAAAAAGGCCTAGTTTGAATCACAAAAGTCTCATCTCATCATCGTCTTTTTACACGTTTCTGTGAAAACTGCAACAACTTTAAAGTGATCAGAACCCACCCAACTATAGCCTGTACTAGATCTCATGCCTATACATATTAAGAAATACGATTTGCAGTACTGTACAGTATGTACATTAGTCTGTATAAAGGCCATTAAGATAAGGCTCAATCAGTTTTTGTAGAATGATGCTAATCTCACAGCAGAATAAAAACATCCCCTCACACTGTTACTGTAAATCCCAATATCTGATCTGAGCATGCTCCTTTCCCTTACAAGTACACCTGGAGAACGATTATTGACATTTGGGTTTTCTGCAACATTGGAGAAATGAGTGTGACATTTCTGATGGCTACAATATATGCTGTATCTTCAATATTTATAATAGTTGAAAAGAAAATAGAAATAATTTTAAAAATGAATGTTTTTTCCTTGAAAATGTGTTGATTTTGGTAATATGCTGTAATTTTAGATAGTGTCTAGACTCTAGGATGCAGGACGGGTTATGAGATCTACTACTTTAAAATTGATTGAACAACTTTATGAGTTTAACAGTGTAACAGGCAGCTTTACATTTCTGTAAAAAATAAGCACAAGTTAACCTTATACTCACATAGGTAGCTGCGTCAGCATGCACAGGTTGCGAAGGAACAAGTAAAGGTTTATTCCCTGCTGAAAAGGGAAGAAAAGAAACACAACTTTTCGATTGTGAAGCCTTTTTCAGGTGTCAGATGGCTGGTTCAGGTATCAGACACCTGAAGAAAGCTCCATGGTCAAACTGTTGTGTTTCTTTAGTGCTCCTTTCAGCATTGGAATAAACCTTTACTTGTTCCTTTGCAACCTTATACTCACTACTAACAGATGTGAAAGTAGTTTTCTCTAGAAATGTGTGAAATCCCAAAGTTTAAAAAGAACTTTATAATCAGTATTGTGTGAGTTGTACTATTTGAGACTAATTTGTTTCAGTGAGCACCACACATAAAAAGCTGCCTCACATAAACGATATTGCATGTCCTGTTGTCTGCTAGTATCTTTCACTGTAGAATACTTATCAGATTGTACTGGCTACACCAATTACATTTTGATCCAGACACCTCAGGTCTTTTAGGTTTGCTCTCAGAGCACCCTTTGTTTTTATGTTATTATATTTCAGTGTCCTTTAGCTTTCATGGCCTGGATCCATTGTAGCACAAAGAAATGCAATTCATTCCACTAATTATGTCAGTGTAATTAGTGGAATGAAATTGGTTCAAATACTTATTTGTTACATTTTAATACCTGTGAGTATATATCATGCATACTGTATTATACTGAGTAACGGTATTTAGACTCACTGTAAATACAACTGTACCCTGTTGCAGTTTTTGGAACAAAAATGTAAACATGCAATCAGGATTAACGCATAACTCTAGTAGACATAGATACCGCGCTGTCAGTGATAAAATGTAACAAGTTTTTCTTACTGACAATGCATAGTGACTTGTGGAAAACAATTTTAAGTTTTACTGTTGATTCATTAAACGTAACTGCAATGTCTTGATTTACCTGAAATGCTTTGAGACAAATGCCAACAATGAAAACACTATACCATGAGTCTTAACAAATCCAGTGAAATAAACCACAGAAATAAAACAATGTAAGTGTAAAAACAAGATCCTGTGTTCACATTACCATAGACTCAAAGAATAATCTGTAGTGTGTTTTAGTTATCTTTTTCAATATGTGGCAATGCCTTTCCATGCTATAACGCAGCTGGGTCCCTGTGAATCTTTGTGTAAATTGCATTATGATATGTCTGAATATTATTCTGTATTTAACAGGAAGGAACAAGAATATTATTGCTCTGATGGAAGGAGTATGAGGCTTGTTGATCAGCCCAGTTTCTTCAAACCGCCATTTGTTCATGTCTAAGTCTGCCAGAAAGATGCTCCAGATTGCTATCAAACCCTCTGGGAAGAATAAAGCCTGTTTTCCCATATTTCTTAGGTTGTTTATTTGGCACTTTGCTGGTTTCTTTTCTAATTTGTGAATAGAATAAGCAAAACCATTAGATATGAATTTTCCTTTCCTAGAAGAAAAAGTAATTTCTAGACAAAGCTATTTATAAGAGCATTATGCGCTTCTTTGTTGAACCAAACTCTCACTTCAGTGGAACCCAGATTAAATCAAAAGCACAAGAGTTACTATTCTGTGGCATAATCTCTTCAGATCTTAAAACGTCAGCAAAACTAGGCCTGGTCAGTACTGGGTGTATTACGTGAATAGACCACTAAAGAAAACTAGGTTGTGGCAGCAAATGGCACTGGTGGACCAGTAGGTGGAACCCTTCCTTGTTGTCCAAAGTCTTGTGAATCAGTGTCCCAGTATGGTGACGGGGGACACTCTTCTGTGGGTGGTGCCATCACATGTATAAACTGAAAAGCTGTTAACCAAATGTGGTAACACTCTGTGCTAAAGTTCTCCCCTAATTCACCTTTGCTGAATGAAAAGGTCCCCTCTTATAGTACATGTATATCAAGACAAAGAATTCTTACCACTCAAATTTCAACTGGACAGTATTATTGTGTGTAGTTGTCAGTATTATTGCTGGCATCATTATTGTTGTACCTTTCTTGCTTTCTGTAGTTCCCACGGTGAGTCCTATTGCACATACCAAGGTTTTGCAGGAGCAGATGTCGTTTATTCATCAGTATGATTCCAGGAAGTTACAAAACCAACCTTATCAGGGAAAGGTAAGGAATTTGGCATTGTATATTTAGAAAAGCCTGGATAAGGAATTCTGTTCATAAAATGTCAATACCTTAACCAGAACCACAAGCATGACTGTAATTTTCATTTTTTTCTTCTTTAAACCTAAATTGTTTCCAACAAGCAGTGGGTTAGTAGCTGTAGTTGGCACATCTGTCAGATACAATATATGATTTAATCTAGACTTTCTTTACTATATTAATGCTACTTACTGTATATGACCTTAAGTGCATTAGAATTTGGACTTGTGAGTCACACCTCCGTGAATTTTGAAGTGTCTGATACAGACATTGCATACCTATGCTAATGGTTATTATTCTAAAATAATAATCCTTTCCTTTTTGAATCTTAACAATACGCTATTGTAGTAGTAGCACTCACACTTAAAAAGGAGTCTTCAAGGCTTGAAATGAGAGGACTGTTTTAATTGTGTCGAAGCTCGGTTCATTTCAACTGGAGAAAAAACAATTATAGTCCATTCATTTTAATTGCCAGTGTGTTGGTAGAAGCAGGGTTGCCTTGACGACGTTTGAAAACTTGAGTTTCCACATGCGTTCACATTCTTCTTTTACTCTCCATAGGAAAAGGCTGCACGTTGTTTCTTGGCCTGTGATCCTTAGCCTCGATACTTTTAGATCATTTCAGCCTCTTCTCGACTCTCTAGCTCCTGTACCTGTGATCAAACCATAGCAGATGTTGTAGGTCTCCTCACATCATAACAAAACCTCTGGATTAGGAATAGATTATCTAAATTAAGACTGAATCTGACCAATTTAACTCTTCTTCACCAATGATTTAAGGAGATTTGGGGAAACCTGCTCTATGGTTAAACTCCTTGAGCCTACTTGGCTTCTTTTACAGTAGTTCAGGTGGGGAGCTGTGTCAGCATGCATAGTCTGCAAAGGAACAAGTAATAGGTTTATTCCCTGCTGAAAAGAGAAGAAAGAAAACACAACGTTTTCGGCCTTCCCAAAGAAGGCTCCACAGCCAAAACGTTGTCTTTTCTTTCTTCTCTTTTCAGAATGGAATAAACCTATTACTTGTTCTTTTAAATGTATCTGTTTCCATTGCATACTGACATCACACTGTCAATTATTGCAAACCATCATTGAGAACTGGACCAAATCAAATGCTCAGCTCACCTGCCAGTCACAAGGTACAGACCCATTGCTTGAAAGAGGATTTTCCTCAGTGAACATGAAAGAAGCCTCATGCAAAGAAAATTGATTTTCCAAGTACTGGATGTTTACTTGGAGTAGTACAGAGGCAATGCCTTTTCCTTGGGCAATTGATTCACGATAATGGTTTTCTTTTTTAATTTTGCTTTCTGGTTTTAATATTTGCTCATCTGGCAGTGGTTTCATTTGTCAAAGAATGGTTCTAAAAAAAGTATACTACATGTAAATTATTATTTTATTGCAGGTGAAAGAGTAAACCTAGTTTCTATTATAATGAAACTTCTCTGGGAGATGACCTTTACCTTCATGTTTGCGATATTCATACCCCATTTCCGATGAGCTAAAGAGGTATCTCAGATGTTGCAGCATCATGTTGCGATCTTGACTCATGGTAGTTTAGATTTCCTTAAGACAACATCCAGCCGTTTCTGATTCATATAGAAAAAGCGATTATAATTCAGTTTTCAGAGCTCGAGTGGTTCGGTTTTAAAAAACAAAAACGAATAAAAAGTCTGTATCCATAGAAACCTTATGTGCGGGGGATGAAATGGAATGGGACTCCAGCACAAATGCAATGGAAGGCAGATGCATTCGTGTGATAAATGTTGAAGGGCCTTAAAGTGCAGGAAAGTCCCTCCTCCCCTCTCTTTTTGCGTTTGGTTTACTGCCTCTGTTCAGGTTTTCCTCCCATACATCCATTCCATGAATAGCGTGGCGTGACAGAATAGCCATTATTCGCTGCTGCCCCCACAACTACCCACCCTCTCTCAGGCTTACCGCCAGTGGAGTGGGAGAGGGACGCAAGTGGAAACCTGCCAGCCCTTGAACTCAGAAATGAACTCAGGCACAGCTGCGCGGCTCAGGCCCGCTCACTCTTCCCTGGTTAACTTCAAGCTTGTTTCCCTTTCCAGCGCCACGGAGCCTTTGTGTGGACAGAGATAAAGCCGGCGAGCAAGCCGAGGGCTCCCGGCGGAGCAGACGCATTCCTGACTGCTGAGAGGTCGCGCTGTGTACCGGCGCAGCAGAAGGCCCAGGGAGGAAGCCGGATGACCTCACCAGAGCTGGTCTCGCAGCATCCTCGGCAGATGTCGGACGCTGGAGCTGGCTTCTCTAAAGGGGGCCTGGAAGAGGCCACCCGGGCCTATCCCAGAATTCCAGCCCGAGAGAAAACGAGGCAAGGCGTTCCGCAGACAGCTGGACTGGACAGCGTTCCTTCCAAAAAGGAGGCGGTTCCCTCTCGGGGAACTCCAGCTGCTCCTCGAGAGAAATTCCAGGACCGGACCGACAGCACATATACCAACTTTAGTGCTGTACCCAAAGCTGCTGCAGTAATCAAGCAGCCTTTAGCTGATGCACAAGTGGGCCTGCTTGATCCAAGCGCTGACAATAACCCCAGACACCAGCTGACACCAGTAGGGAGTTAGCTTGAACAGTGGAAGCATTTTGATGGCAGCAGCTGCACTCCCCTTTGATCTGACATATTAGATTGTATCGATCTGGCTGCTGTATTAGGCTGCATTATTCTGTCCTTGATTGTTTTCCCAACATCTGTGTGCTTATTAAAATGTTAGTGCATGTACATTCAGCATCTTAAGAGAAGGGTTAAAGTTGTTCCTCTAAACAGTTGTGTAATGTACTGTAATGCAGAAAATCTTGTTTTAAATCAGGAAAGCATCTTTCTTATGCATTAGGATGGAAAACCTCACATTTTGTTATGTGCATGGCTTATTCCAGAAAGCATGCATAGTAGCAGTTGGAAACAGTTTGTTGATTTTGGATTTTTTTTTTGCTTCTTTCTCAGTATGGTTTTTCTGCTATTTGGTTTGCAGTAATTAGATTTGCTTTACAGCAGATGGTCTGTGGCTCTGCTCTGGCCCTGGAAGTACTCCTGCACTTGTATGCTGCTGTTGACAATGTTTTGAATCGGCTTCAGCACTGTCAACCAGACTAGCTGGAACAATAACCATGCGGGCTGGGCAGGGCAGCAGCTAAGTTAAGTACAGAGGAAGTACACATGAGATGACTTCAAGGGGGCTTCTTGTAACCATGGAAACCGAGCCATGCTGAGATAACCAACTGTGTGGCTGCATGGATTAAAACTGTTATTTTTAATTTTCCAAAGAAATCTTGTGAAGTGGAAAACAGATGATTTTAGGTACAACAAGAATTGAACAGTATGCAAGATAAGGAAAGACATCATGTTGGACAAGATATCAGCTTATAAAACAAGACTGGTGATTGCAGAAGGAGAAGTAGCAAGTGAGTCAAGGTTATGAGCATACTTCATGCATCATAACTTCAGAGTCGTGTGTGGCAATACAAGATTATATTCTAGCTGCAAAATCATCTGTCCTCTCATCTGGCCACCTGGTTTTTTTTTTTATAACAATCTGATATTGCACAGTCATTTTCTGAATCCGAATAAAAGCCATACCTTCACCATGTGGCGTGTGTGTAACATGTTCAAATATGCCATTGACCTGCGCCAGGTAGCGACCTGAAGAGACTGAATGTAACCTCGTCGACTGTTCTGCTGCTCAGGAAGATGTTTACCAGCTTGAGGAGAGCTGGAGCCAGGAACCAGGCGAATCACTTCTCTTAGCGATGTTATTATTAACTATCCTGAAAAATTGCCACGTTTATATAGATATGTGTAGCAGCAGTCAAGGCCCGTTGCCTGGAAACGACATTGACTTGTAATCAGACACAATCTGCTTCTGCACCTCCATCCCATACTCTGTTTCCCTGCTCCTCACTGCTCATGTAACTAACTGGCTTGCGCGAAAGCGGGGACTGATTTTTTTTTTCTTGGTTCGAGCGTGAGCGCTAGTGTGCTGTTATCTCTCCGCCCCTCTGTGAATCAGTGCAGCAGTTGGCTTTTGCTGGTGTAGCAGAGGAGGCAGTGCGGATTCCTGTAGTCACTCCCTGCGATTCACATCCAGCCTCCCTGCTTGCGTTTGCGCGTATCGTGGGCTTTTCTAGGTGCTGGACATTATCGTGTGTTCCTTGGTGGGTAAGTATCGCTCACCGCTTTTATGGTAAATAAAAAAGGTTTGCGCATTGGTCGGCTCTCCGTTGGTGGAGTTGGAAACAATGCAGACCCACACCTTCGTTAAGAACAGACCGACTGCCGTAAACATTGCTACTGCTGAGTTAAAAATGGCTTTACTGTATGATGCTGTTAGTTACGCAGGAACAAACGGGAGACTTCGAAGGGAGCGCAGCTTTCCGTTTATCGATTGAAAAATCGCACAAATGTGCGAACTTGCACGGATTCTTTGCCGCAGAAAATAGGATACAGCGCCAGGTCCGAGCTTGCAGTTTCGAATTTCGTGTTTTTTCCCCTCTTTCCCCTTTGGGTTTTCCAGAAAATGAAGTCGCTTTATTTCTCAAGCGCGAGAGACGCGTAACGGCGGCGCACCGGCGTGCTCATTTTCGTCCGATTTTGCGGTGTTTGCGGTGTTATTTTGACGTTTTTGTAGGCACGCAGGATCAGCCGACACCACGGCAACATGGACGTTTTCCTACCAGGTTGAGATTATAACGGTACAGTATAGTAAGGATGGAAACAGGCGTGGTCGTGCGGATCTGATTGCTGAGCTAGGAGGCACCGTGTGTGTCGCGGTTAAGCAGCTTGCTTCGGTAATTCAGTAGGTAACTACTAGTAGGTATTTTGTGACGATAGTTGGAAATGCGTGGGTTCCCCACGATTCCTCGCCGTATTTTGAGGTGAAATAATTCGACTTCGAGTGTTTGTTGAGTCAGTTGTCGTAATACGATTAGTTTTCAGAAGAACTGCAGCCCCTTTTCGAGCTCTGCCAGGTTGTGTTGGTGCCTCGCACACGCACAGGTGTGTTTTCCAGTGTGCAGGATGCTGGCGCGGCGTTCGCGTTCTGCGGTGTTTTTTTCCTGCGTGGTACAGCTCGCAGTGCGCTTTAAAATATTAATGTAGCAACGCGCGGCGTTAGATCGGGAGGGTTGCCTTCGAAGGTGCATTGAAACTATCGGATCAGGTCCGAGTGAGCGAGGCTGAAGAGCACCCTGCGACCTAAATTAGTCACCTTCGTAGGTAAGCACTTTCCACAGGTTGCTCGTTCTCCCCGGGGACTCTTAAAACACCCCGCCCATCTGGGTCAACATTTCTTGCAGAGCGCTGTGCTGGTATAACGTATTCTCGGATAAAAACCCAGTTCCTTCTGGGTTTGAATTCGGAGGCGTTGCTGCTGCTGCTGCGTGATGCCGTATTTATGGGGTTTTTTTTCTTCCCCGGCAGTGCAGGAGGAGGTGTGCTGAGTAAAACGTTGCAATACTGCAGCTCCAATGCGGTCAGATGGAGTCCAGCCTGCGGCTCCTGAGCCTTTATCTGACGCTACGGGCAGCACTGGGGTGGGGTTATACGCGAGCTACGTTAGGGTGCAAATGCGTGGGATTTTTGGTGGGGAAAAAAGGCAAGAACTCGTCAGCGATCAACGAAATATATAACCGCGCACATAAATTTCTGTTTATAAAACACGGGCTTTGGCCTCATTGAGATTGAAAAGAGCAGTAACACTGACCTGCTCTCGGCCGGTTCGAAGGGCAGCTGTGAACCGGGGTATATCGATGGGAGTGCCGTGTCAGCGTGGAAGCGTTTGCCCCTCGTTTTATTGACGCATTTGTCCGTACTGCTTCATAAAATGTATATCTCACCCAAACTCACTAGCACAGTTGAGGCCTCGGGAATGGCGTGTTGTGCTGGATAGGAAGGGGAAACGTTAAAAGACTGCATGAATGTAGCTGCACCTGTTTCTTTGTGACATGACTGTGCCAGCAGTTTGCCGGTCCCCGAGTGGAACGTGGAACTGACCTTCAGGATTTCGCGACTCTGTACCCGCCGCGGTCAGCACGCTGCACATAGTCGTTGTTAGGAGAAAAACAAATCAATTCTCAAAATGGAGATGCAGGAGCAGCAGGGCTCAACGTCGGCCGGAGAGGAAAGGCTTGTTTTAAAGTGTCTCGCAGGTGGTGTGCTTGTCTGACGTGCGAGGTCTGAGATGAGTGAATGGGAGTCCTCTGTGTCAGGTTCCTCAACTAGGCACTAGAGAGGTTTGCAAAGCGTGTTGTCAGCCGAAGCTACTCTGAGCTTTTTCCTTGGGCACCTAGACACACGACTGGCTGGAGATGCACGAGTGTCGAACCCTTCAAAGGGGTATTTCCGAAACCTTGCAAGGGTCAGTTCATTTCCACTTGGGTGACTTGCAGTTTAACTCTGATGTTCTGGGACACCCACCCAGCCATCCACCTACAGCAGAAGGGAGTTTTGTTTCTGCCTGCACGTCGCCTTTATAATAGTTGTGTCCAAGGTCTATTGCATTAAACTGTACATATTAATGCTGTTTATAAAAGGATTGACACACATTGAAACAAATATGTACAGTTTGTGCACCAGCTGTAAGACTGTGGGAAGCTGACTAGGCTCAATATTTGGACAGGCTTTAAAAAGGAATTTACAAAATAAAAATCATTTGATCCATGTTGACAAAGTAACAAGAATGGAGGATAATTATGTCTAAAGTTTATGATGGATGTAAACATGTTTTACATACATTTATTGTGGAGGCACGAAAGACTGTAGTAAGTCTTGGACCTTGTTTTTCAAAGAGAAAGACCTATTGTCATTCGATTCAGCGTGAACACTTGGTATTTTTACACTTTTCTCCCTGCCTGTAAACATACTGTATTGACCATCCTTGTTCATCAACAGTATGTGCTGATATATGTAGGTCAGGAGTGAACCATGAAAAACCTTTTCAGCTGAGACTCTCTCATTTAAAATAGGGGGCAGGTTCAGCTGCTGTTAGGTTTAACACTGATGTTGTACATCTGGGATAATTAGAAGTAAAACCTCAGGGTCTCCAAACAGCTGAATGTACTGCATAACCTTCCCAAACCCCTAGAATGACTGGGAGGTGGAGTTGTACCAAATGGTGTTGTCTGTACTGTAGTATGACCTTTGACATTGTGGAGTCAGTAGGGGATTACCTTTGCGTGAAATGTAAGACAAAGCTGGGATGAATACGAAAAGCGCTAATGACTTCTAAGCAGCATTTAAATTCACCTTAATAAGAGCCTGCTGCTCTTTCCTGATGGATCTTTCTATGTTTTGAAGAACAAAACTTCGTGGCTCACTGTAAAATCTTACTCTAAACTCAGATTCTCGAAATATCTTGATTCTTTTGCAGTTTGGAAATGAAGTGGTTTACGTCATCCGCCCAGATGTCTGCCTATCAGTCATGTTGTTGCTGATACAATTATTTAACAAGTTAATTGGCTACTTCAGCAGCAGCAACTCTGAGCAGATCTCTTGGCATGAGACAGGGGAAGCAGATTATTGTTGTACTGAGCCTAATAGGTTGGATTTAATGTTTAGAAAGTTAAAATTCGTTAGAAGTTCACTGGCCATTGACTAAACAGTGCGATTCAGTTTGAACTGGTATGTTGAAACAGAAGCTCATTGTACAGAATCAAATATTGGTAAAAGTCTGTTGTTTGGGTCAGGCAGTGTTTCTCAGATGAGTCTTGCAGAATGTTTTAAATTGGTATATTAAGTTGTATCCATTATAAGAATAAAAAATAACCTCTATTAATACCTATTTGAAATTTGTAGAAGTTACTGTATTGGCACCCCTTCAGATAGTAAAAAGTCACAGACTGTGAATTCAGTCAGTTTCGTATCATTCTGTGTGCCCTTTACACTGTTTTTGTGCAAATACTGTACCAGCTTTTTAGTTTGGGCCGAGGGGCACAAATGTCTTCCTTTATGAAATTTGTGAAATGATTCCAAAGGAATGCATGTGCTAAAGCTTCCATGTTATGCCATTTAATGGCTTGGCATTCAAGTGTGCTTTTCAGTTCATTTCTGACTGGACAGGCCATTCATTCAGCCCAGATAATTGGGCAGAGCTCTGCACTATCTAGGCCAAGAGGCTGCTGCATGGGCTTGGGACCGTGTGCTTTTCGGAGAGGGTGGGGTCGCCTTTCAATGTGGGAAACTTCCCTGCTATGTGTCCTGGAGAAGATAAGTGGCTTCGAGTCCCACCAGGGAGTCAGATTTAGGGCTGGAATGTGTTGGAGAGATGCCAGGAGATAGGAAATGGAACAGTGCGACAGAAACCAGTGCAGTCACACCAAACTCCGGAATTAGCTAAATATGGATCTTTAATCAGGAGAAGGATACCACATTGCCTCACTGGAGCTTTTGCTGCTTTGCTTTTTTTGTCCACCCGCTCTGCTGCCTTTCCCCCGAATGTAGTTTCTGTGCATGTGTCTCCTGTGTCTTTTATCTGTCGCATTTGCTCACCGTCTCTCTGACTCTCTCCCCTCTCTCCTCTGCTGCTTCTGTGTTTACCCGGACTGTGCTGGCAGCTGAATGCACGAGTGCGATCAGTTCTCATAAGCAGTACCGCGGCTGTACAGTAACTGGGAGCACCTTGGCGCTTGGAGAGCATGGAGAACAAGCTGGGGTATGCGAAAAGACAAATTCCTAATGCAAGAAATTGTAAAGGGTTAATAAAGTGATGTGATGTGCTCTCACCCCCAGCAGTGCTCGAGAACAACAGTATGAAGGCTGGCACAGGGGACTGCTTTCCTTTCTTTAGGTGGATGGGCTAGTTTATTTCTCTGCTACCATTGCACCTGTAGGGAAACCAGTAAGATTCCTGTTGCGTAGTAGTTTGGTCCATTTCAGATTTTACAAGTTAAAGTCTTGTAAAACCTGAATCAATACTGAACAGTATTGATTTGTGGATCTTTGAAGGGTGTTATCTGGATGTGGGGGCATGTACTGTAGTGTTGAAACGGTAGTAAATAATATTTGCGTCCTGCTTCATCGGCACGGTCTACAGTAGTGGTAGAATTTGAATGAACCCAGTCTACTGTGCAGTTAAGGGTGGATCTGTTTCTCTCTGACTGATCAGAAACTCTTTCTGGAGGCAGTATTTGACATGATGTAGAGCCTTTGAAAATCTCTCTCAT